AAAAAATTGGTAGCTTTGAGCGAAACGAATATAATTAAAACTTTTGATAAAATACATTTTCGAGTATTAGCAGTTTTAAATTCGACAGTTTTAAATTCGAAATTTAGATCTTAAAGAAAAGTTAATAGAACGTTAATTTTCGAAACTTCAATATTTCAAAACAGTACAAGTTTCGAAATATTTTTGGGTTTTGAACGCAACAAAAAAATAAATTTTGTGGGAACGAGACTAATTGAAACTAAAAAAAGTATTTTTAAAACTTGCAATTTCGAAATTTCCTATTTTGAAGCTAGAATTTTCGATATATTTAGGTGTTTTGAAGGATATTGAAAACAAATTTTGATTAAAAAAAAAACTCATTTTCGAAATTCGAAACTTCGAAATTCGAAGTTCGAAATTTCTTGGCATTTTTGAGCCCTCTCGAGAAACTAAAAAACTAATAATTCTAAAAACACACACTACATTTAAAGTTTGCTGGGATCTTCTTTCTTATTCGCTCGCGTGCAGCGTTAGTCACATACAAAAGTGCAAGTGCACACACAAAATTGGCTGCCAGTCAAATTTGGTTCCTCAAATATTATAACGTATATAAACTGTATGTATATGTATTTGTGCATGTGTATCCACACACATTCATATATGCAAATATTTTATTTGCATTTATCCTTTCCTATTTCGCAGTGAATTCTTTTACCTCATTCCTTCGTATTCTTGTTGTTGCATTTGAAAATTTCATTTAGCAGGTTTTATTTTTGGCTAATGGTTTTTTTGGGCATCTACTACGATGAGCTCATCGTTACGCAGACGCAATTTATTTGCTTCGGAGGCTAGTTATAATTATTCGACTTCGAATTGGAGTAGGAACCTATTCTGTTTCAAGTAGACGCATTAAAGCATTCCCGAAACCGCAGCCAAAACTTTTTTTAAATGAATTGTAAATATATTTTTACTTCCGCCTGACTACTGAGTGGTTGTTTTAAAGTACTCTACTGTTTAATTAAGGCACTCTCAGTGGAGGCTACAGTTGCCGCTCATAAAAATTNAAAATGAATTGTAAATATATTTTTACTTCCGCCTGACTACTGAGTGGTTGTTTTAAAGTACTCTACTATTTAATTAAGGCACTCTCAGTGGAGGCTACAGTTGCCGCTCATAAAAATTTGTTGTTGCTGATATCGTCATCACTCTCCACGCTTTTTATTTCTTTCTATTGCTCTCACGCGTGTTTATAATGCTTAAATCTTGTCTAAATTAATTTAAATGCAAATTCATCTGTAGTTTGGAGAATTTGGTCATAAAATATATAGAAAATCTTAAATTTTCGCTAATTTCTTTTCAGCTATGGGTTTGTGCAAAATTTGCTAAAAAAATTATTCATTAGCGACTCTTTTGTAATCCAAAACATTTGGCTATATAGGTATATTATGTAAATTATATTTATTTATCGAATTTGTTCATTAAAATACTTTATAGTAATCTTTTTTTATAATTATTTTATTTTATTTAGTTCACTATTGGCTCTTAGCTCNCATTGCTCTCACGCGTGTTTATAATGCTTAAATCTTGTCTAAATTAATTTAAATGCAAATTCATCTGTAGTTTGCGGAATTTGGTCATAATAAAATATATAGAAAATCTTAAATTTTCGCTAATTTCATTGCAGCTATGGGTTTGTGCAAAATTTGCTAAAAATATTATTCATTAGCGACTCTTTTTGTAATCCAAAACATTTGGCTATATAGGTATATTATGTAGATTATATTTATTTATCGAATTTGTTCATAAAAATACTTTATAGTAATATTTTTTTATAATTATTTTATTTTATTTAGTTCACTATTGGCTCTTAGCTCAGTATTTGTAGTTTATTATTTTTCTCAATTTGCTATTTTGCGCTAATTACACCTTTTCCGTTTTTTGTATTCTATTTTTGTGTTTTTTTATTTCTTTTGTAAAATGTAAAAACTGTAAATCGAAAAATTGTTGAAATGTCATGGGCACCACCACCACCAACACTGAACTAAATTATCATAATGTTGTTGGTATTCCGGTTGTTGTTGGTTCACCAACACCGCAACCACTACGAACAAACGTAATGTAATATACCGTAATGTACTGTACTGTACCGTACTGTAATGTAATGTAATTTGCGAAATAATAACTAAATATGCAAATACGCACCATTCCACCAATTAAAAACAAACAAAAAAAAAAACAAAACCGATCTCGAACGATCGTGCCGCATACTTGTTCGTCGCACCACGTTCTCTCTTCCTCTCTCCCATGCACTCTCACGATCAACAGCAGATTCAGCAAATCAGTTTCTCTCCTTAATAGACTCAATCAGAAAACCGCCAACGCTATGAAGCTGAATATACCATCGTTGAATCATCAACCGCCGGCGGATACGATCAGCGAGTATGACGGCGAGGATCTGCTTTTCCAGACACCCAATTCTACCATACGCGATGAGGAGTTTCGTACGCCACTTAACGAGATGCCCGTAACCTCATCCGCTTGCTCTCTATCCATCTACGGCGATAACTTTGTGTTGAACGCACCTTCGCCGACGTATCGCAGCGTCGCCAGCAACAGCAACAGCCGTAGTGGCTCGCGCACCTCTCAGATCTACGAAAGTGGCAGCGGCAGCGGTAGTGGCGGTGGCAGTGGTAGCGGCAGCGGTGAATCAGGTTCGGAGGAAACCGCCGACGACTCTGGCTTGGATGAGAATTTCCATACGCCGCGCGTAGCCAAAATCAAATCGATGGAAAATCTCTCCATTATCGAAATGGAGTTCCACCGTGCATCACAGGAATTGGATCGTAATTCACCGCGCCGCCTTAAGTTGTTGGCTGAGCGTGCACAAATACCAAAAATTAAATCGCTTAGCAATTTATGCCTAGATGATTACAGCGAGCAACAGGTGCGCGAAGAGTTGCTGCGCATGCGCGAGCGCTCGCTGGAGGAAAAACATCGCTTCAATTTGCAGCAGCGCAAGAACTCTACCTCGTCGACTAGTTCGGGCAAGTTGTTTATGAAGAACAAAGTGGGCAATGCCAAATTCATTGGCAACGACGATAGTCCACTGCCGCAGCAGCCGCACAGTCAACAGCCGCCTTCATTCATGCCACGTGTGCCACACTATCCGATACAGAAGATGCGCTCTATGGGCACCATACCGGATGTGGTGACGGAGCGCGTCGAACCCGATCCCTTTCTCACGCCGACTTCGGGTCGCAAGCCGAATTTCCCGCTGGTCACACAGTCGGCAGAGAAGCCTTCGCCGCCTTCATTTGTTGCGCGTTTGCTTAACTATGACGTCGTTGATTCACCGTCATCCTTGGCTGGCACATCGAATAGCCACAATCCACAGCTACAACAACATCACACCCATGGCTCGCTAACGGAGCTCTATTCGCATGATCGTGTCAGCACATTGTTGTCCAATGAACAGAGCGCTGCTGGCATGTCCTTCATGTCGCGCACACCGTTCGAGCGAGCCTACCGACGCACCATGTTGAAGAGTTCGACGCCACTGCGACAAACGCTGGGCTACGTGCAGTACACAACGCTGGAGGAGCAGGGAATACAGCTGCGCTCGGATGGACATCAACAACAACAACAACCTTATGCTATGGGCCAGCAGGAGGCGCTCTTAGTGCGTCCACACTCGACGAACACCGCCTACGAGTTAATGAGGTTTGTAGAAGTGTTCACAGTTTAAAGAATAACAAAAAGATATCAGCTATCATGATTTCAATGCGTCACGGATTTCAACTATACATTCA